TTGTAAGTTACTGATATATTTACTTTCACACATTTAACAAGACGATAGTAATGACTAATATTAAAGTATTAACACTGCAAATAAATATAAATAAAACTAAAAAAAAATTACATATATTTACTTATATGAATATACATACGTACAAAAAACATTTCATAAAAGATAGCATTAAATAAACTTGAAATAAAATACTGTAAATCGTAGGAGCAATCTTTCCTTTTTTTCTATTGGAGGGCGAGGAACAAAAAAAGAAAAGAAAAAAAAAGAATAGTTTTTAATATAGGTCCAAATTCAACATAATTTTGTCAAACGAACAAATATAATATTGGATATTTAAAAGTAAATATATACATATGTTTAGACAGTTGGGAATCGTTATTATTTTTTTTATATGTGCTTTTGGATATATTTTGAAATATCTTAACAAAACAATTGGATTTATTGCAATTAGTAAACGTTAAACATGAGAAGAAGGGAGGCAGTCGCCATAACATAGATACATTTATAGAACTTTTTCAGCTTAAAATGAATCATGTTAAAAACTGAAAAATACTTTTGATTTATCAGTTTGTACGACCTCCGAATAAAAATAAAACGTCTTCACAGTCTGACTATGTAAACATGTCTATAACAACATTTTCGATAAAATATATTTATATTTGCACTGTAAAAAATTTATAAGAAAATCACGAGAAAATGGAGGTATCTGCATGAAAGGTGGATGAATCATAAAATCCAAGGTTATTTTTCTATATTATAATTCCTGAAATAAATGAAAATTTAGATAAAAGGAATATTCAGGATGTGATAAGTACGTACCTACTTATAGACCTTAGTCTTTTATTAATCGATTTTAGTTTACATACTTTATTCATCCATGTAGCTTTTTCGTTTTCAATTTTAATTTATTTACTTCAAATCATTGGGGGGGAGAGATGGAGACCAAACGATATCTCGTCCCCTCAACATTTCTATTGGGGGACGATCGCCCGTTCTTTGTCCTTTTAGCCAATCAGTGATTATTTTGTTCCATTTCTTATTTTTATTGTATACTAGCTTTACCCGGCCACGCGCTGCTGTGGCTTAGCCTGGTAAAATGAAAAAGAAAGAAAATAGAAAGCACATATGAGTAGATTAGTAGCAAAGGACATCTGTCATTTTTAAAAAGTTGGGAAACAAATTTGTCTGTAAAATGGCTTCAATTGAAACTAATTCTAATTATTTTTTTTCTCATGATTAAAATTGAACATTCATAATCATCTGAGTAAATACGCCGTCATTCATAATCATCAGAAACAGTCTGAGATGAACTTATAAAACTAAATTTAAAAAACGTATAATAGTATTGACCTACATAAGGAGAATCATATAAATTCTTCAAATGATAATTTCAGTTGCTGTTGTAATTATAAAATTTTCGATTAATCAATAAAAAAAAAAATAGAAAAAATGCTTGCCGACGTTCGGTAGTGAGGAAACAAAAGGAAACGGCCTTTTCTGAAGAGAAAGCAGTAAATGTTTAAAACACAATAACTCTGCAACGAACCGTCCGATTTCGATAATTTTTTTAAAATTTTTGTCAGCAATTCAGAAATCTTTCAAATAAATGTGGGTATTATCATTCAAAAATTCTGTACTTTTTTAGTTATCGTCAAATAAAATATTGAATTCATCGTAACATTTTTCAGCTTGTTTTCGGGAAAGTATGTTATACACATAAATCAAAAGGGTTTCAAGGGGAAGACTTTAGCCAAGTTTCGTTAAAATCGGTAAAGCCGTTTTGGCACTACAGTTTATAGCGACACATTTTTTGGGGCTTTGAACAGAAAAACATTTACATTTTTATTTTTTTTAAATATATAAAATTATCGTAAGACAGAAGTACTACACCAGAAACCTTCCCAGGAGTGTACGGAACAACTTCCCAAAGTTTCATGGCTATCGGTTGAATGGTTTAGTAATGCACTAAGGACAAACAGACGGACAGACAGATACATTCATTTATATATATGTATAGATAATTCCAAGAATTTTGTAAATAGTTTTATTAGTTTATTTTTGTTCATGCTCACTTAAGGTTTTTTACTATTTATTTATTAAATGTAACAGTTTTTCTGGTCAGATCTAATTACATTTTTTCTTTAATTCTCAGTTATTCCTAAGAGATTTTTTTATTTCCATTCTATTAATTTTAAACAAGTTTCCGATTACTTCAGCACTTACTAGACAAACGCTCTAAACTTCCAATTAATTACAAAAGACTCATCTACATGACTATAATAATGCCTATTTGTACTGAGTTATGGGGCTCCACTAAACCATCGAATTCCTCTCGTATCTAATCCTTACAATCCAAAATCCTTAGTAAAATCCACAATGCTCCCTAGATTGTTACAAATAAAACCATCAATAATGACCTTAATGTTTCTTATGTTTCAGATCTTGCCCAATCCACATACCTATCCTTCCATAATAAACATCCTAATGTAGGCATATTATTAGAGTGATTACCATTGTGTAGTTTCTGAACAAGTGTTTTCACGTCATTATATCCATATGTTTAAATTTAATAAATATATTTCTTTAATACAGTTGTAAATATCATTAAGAAATTAAAAAAAAATTATTTACATTTACCTTATAAAAGTAACTTCTATTGTTTTATATACATTCTTTTTTTTTTCCTATTCATTAGTTCCTTTATTATTCATTGAAATTACTATTTCTTTATATATTTAAAACTAATTAAAAAAACATTGTTTTCATTTCATCCTACAGTTAGATGGAGGGTGTCGCGTTAGACCTATTCTTTGACTCATCGCAGATTCAATGGATGGAATCCATCAATCCAATGAACCCTACACCGACTGACAACGATTTATGTTATAAAGCGATCTGATTGGTTCCAAGGAAGGTTAACACTCTAACACGGAAGGTACAAAACAAACGAAAAATAAAAAAAATTAGTTCAAGAAATACCCATTCACTTAAAGGTTGAATTTTAAAACAAAAGTAAAAATATACAGAGGGTAAACTGAATATGTAACGTACATTGAGAAGCAGTGCTCGATTACTTTCATGATTTGAGTACTTTTATTAGGATAAAGTAAGGAGTAGTTTCCGTACTCGGCCCGACCTCCTTGAGTACTGATAGTATTCACGTTGCATTAATCAAGGTTATTTGATTACATAAAATCCTCGCGGTTTTATTTTTCAACTATTAAAACATTATTATTGTAATCATTCCTATGATTTGGGAATGCACTACCGTTCATCAAGTTCTGTAACTTATCGGATTTAATCGATACTAGTAGACCCGTGCGAAAATTCGCACAGTATATTCTTCAGTGATGAAATAATAAATTAATAGGAAAATTAAACAATGCAGCATATCATAAAAGAAATCATGGTACTACAGTGGATCCATAGCCATTGTGGGATTCCGGGAAACTTTGAGGCTGATATTCTTGCCAAGCTAGGAACAGATTTGCCTCAGCCGATACATCCAAAACCTTACGACTCAATACGGCAAATGGTAAAGATGGTAGTGAATTAAGAAATAAGAAAAGCACATTTAGGCAAAGTGGAAGGGAAACATTATGAGTAGTTGAAGGATAATCCGATTCCAACTGAGCTGCCGAGAAGAGATGCAGTTGCCTGCTTCCTCCTGGCCACTGGTCACGACTATCTGCAGTCATCTCTACAAGATAGGCGTGGCTGAGGATCCTACCTGTAAATTGTGTCATCAAGGAACAATGGATGCAGATCATCTAGACCCATGTCCTGCCTTGATGGACATAAGAGAAAAAATATTTTCAAAAATATATCAGAAACTATAAATTATACTGGCAGCAAGATGTCGGATGGCCAAACGACCAACGACAGGCAAAAGAGAAAAAATAAATAAATAAAAGAAATTACTTGTTACTTTCTCGCTAAATATAATCAACATAGGAAACAAAAAGTGATTTAAAACTTCATTAATATTTGGCTTAACGCAGGGCGGTCCCTCCCGCCGTAAATTATTGCATAAATATTTGTTCGTTAATAAAACCAATATAATGTACCCAAAATGTTATTATATCACTATAACTAAGCCATTTAAGTGTACTGAATGCTGTGGTAGAGGCCTGTAGGCACCCACGCCAGTACCGCTTTTCTGCCGCATAAGTGCATTTTCTGCGAAACTGCTTAAACATTTTTAAAAAATAATCAGCGTTTTAGAAAGAGAAATGTATTCTCCAGGTGTTTTATTTCAACAGGTTTTGCGTTATTGTAGGCCGTTTAATTACAAACGACGATTGATTTGTAACTTGAAAATTAAACAAAAATTGACTTTACTGGTGTTTTTCATAGCTTAAGCCAATTATTTTTAAATATTTCTTCATGTTTTATTATTTTGTGACTATTCAGCTTTAACAAATGACCAACTATGAGGAAATTAAGATAAATGCTGATTCTCAGTGACAAAAAAACTAACTAAAGTCAAACTCGTTAATCCGCCATCTTTGGACGCCATTTTGGGGCAGTGCGTTCACTTTTTTCTGTGGGAACATTAGCTTTTTTTTTTAATAAATAGTTACAAGGAACACAACGATATGCAATTTATAGGGATGTGGGGAGGGAGGGGAGAGGGGTGCACATTAAGGGGGTCTGGCCCACGGTGTATGACACCATAAGCGGCGTTAAAGGTAGAAAGCAGGTAAATTAAAGGACCGACCCTATACCTGGCTCAGAGTAAAACTAGTAATGTGCTAAGTAACTGGTCCCTCTTAGGGTGTTAAAGTTATTGTAAAATAATATGGTGACGTTAAGAACCAATGAGAACCATTCTTGCCCCACCCTGAAAAGTTTGTATAAATTCTACCGAGAACCAAGGAAAGATACACACTGACACAGTTCACCTCCAGCTCTCAACCAGTGAAGACTTTCCGAAGACCTGAAGACCTTGTACCAATCTATGTGCTCCCAGGCCTAGTTTAAGAAAGCGCCCTCAAGCTGCCAAGGTCCATACATATCTCTTGGAACCTACCTTGTCAGCAGCAGGGTAAGGGCAGCTTTGCTCTCACAACACTCTTAGTGCCTAGTGTTTAGTTACAGTGTAATTCCTGCCTAGTAACCCGTTCTTTGTTCTGTGTGTTGTGACCATTAACTGGTAACAGGTAACCGGTTCCTTGAAGCAGGTTAATCGGTAACCTGTGATCGATACGTGTGTCGCGAAACCTTCAACCAGTGCGAGCGTGAACGGCAAACAGTTTTCGGGAAAATCACCACATTCAAGACTGTCCCCGAAGCAGCTCACCAAAATGCAGCAACTGCCAAGGAAATCATGTTGCATCTTACAGATCATGCGAACACAGGCAGAATCTCATAACGAGAACGAGAAGAGAAAAATGGAGAAAGCAGTAGCCAAACAGAAAACATCACCCGCTAACGACAGGCTTCCCACCACTGTCCCTCCAAGATCAAGTAGAATGGCGACTACAGATACAACTTACTCCTCCTTCTTACAGCCCCTCAATCCATCTACTATACCAGAAACAGAAGAACATTCCCTACTAGCTGAAACATCACCACCACCGATGTTCATGCTTTCCATAATAAACGAAACCAGCTCACAGTGGCATATCATTTGTCGAATTTTTTTTTTTTTATCCATCGAGATTGAGGTGGACATCCTGAAAAGAATTTAAAAAATCTCTGAGGATATTGTAGATTTGAGGTATACAATTAGAGAGGGAGCCATGTTCTAACACCAAAAATAAACAAACGATTGATAATCATCCGCATTGCATGTTTGGAATACTTTTGCGATCAAACATAACTTATAAAAAAAGTAATCTCATAATTAAAAGGGGCACCGTAATCAAATATGCTAAGAGACTCGAACCGCACATTCTGCTAAAAATAGATTGGAGCAGATAAAAACGTTCTGTAAATCACACAGAGATATGACTAGGCATTCCAGATGGCTTCTGTGTTTGTTCAAACTGCATGCCACGCACGCTCCCAACGGAAACTGGACCATTTATTCTAAAACCATAATCGTTATTCCTAATTCATTCCTGTAATAAGATCCAATTAACAAGTACTTCATTAACTATTAATTTACAATATCAGGGAATTTTCTCGTGCCATATTGTTTTACAATGGAACCTAAAAGGCGGGAAATTCCATGAGTCAAGTCTCACTTGTGGATACGACGCTATCATTGACATTGAGATTATTTATTTATCTTGACTCGCATAGTTTCCTTAAAATACACCGTGACTGGTTGTTGTTCAATGGGAATAACTACAATAAAACTCATATTCATCTCTTCATTATAGAATAGTTCAACGGTGACTACATTTACTGACAATAAAATCAATTATAAGAACTTATTATTTTTATTATTTCCTATTTAATACAGCTTATGTATTCAATCTATAGACAAACCAGATGTTTTTTAAATATTTAAATTCTTATTGCTATAATATTACACATATTAATGTACATGTATATCACTTTAATAATTTATTCATTTAATAAAGAATACCAAAACTGTTCATTATTTAAAACATTTTTTGTTCGTGATCTGTATAATTATATGGCAATAACTTTTTTTTTTTTTTTTTTTCTTACCCTCCAAAAAGTTTATTGAAACAATTACATATATAGTATACAATAATACAATATAAACATGTAATAAATTCCTTCCACTGCCCGAGGGCATTTTAAGGATTGGGGATAGCTAAAGGTTACATATGTGGCAGAAGGCCTTGTGACTTTGACATTGAACGGGGAGATGGCAATAATAAATTTCTCGGTACATTTATAGCAGTTTTTGTGTATTAATTAATCGGGTATTTTAATTAATTTAAAACAGAAAATGTCAAACAAAATTATTAATCGTCATTCGCGAATAACTATTAATAACTTTGTTAACTCGAGAAGGCAGTGGATCAGCTGATGAGAGGGTTGTCTCCTCAACTCCTCTCTCAGTTTTTACCAATTTTATAGCGGAATCTCTCTGATTATTCACGTGATACAGTTAAGTGTATATCAGAGCAGTTGATATTTACTGTTGGCATCTTTTTTTTTGTTATTTTAAGAAAAAAAAAAAAAAAAAAAAAAAATTTTTTTTTTTTTTTTTATTTATTTATTTATTTTTCTCTTATGATATGCGGTATGATCAGCAAGTGATGGCCAGTAAGGTGCCCAAGAGGTCTCGGTCAGACGGAGTTAGCTCACCAGCCAAACAAAGAACTCGTCGCTGCCTACGAGAAATACCTCCAGTGACCAAAATGAACACTTCAGAACCAGAACCTCAGCCCCAACCAGGTACGTCTGCACAAGAAACGATTGAAGAATCACCTTTCTTTACTCCAAACCCCTACCAAGTGCTTCAAAATGACAGAGAAGTAATGGAGTCTGCAGCAATACCCAGAGAACCAAAGCCTCCTCCGATATTTGTGAAAAATATAAAAAATTTCCAGATGTTCTGCACCCAACTAAATAAAATCTGCTCTGGCAGTTATTCATGCCTTAACAGGACCAATGACACCAAAATAACTCCTGATTCTGCAGAAGCCTACCGAAAAATAGTGAAGTACTTATCAGAAACAAATGCGAATTTTCACACTTACCAGCTGAGGCAGGAAAGAGCTTTACGAGTAGTGATAAGAAATTTACATTCCTCAACCCCCACTGAAGTTATTAAAGAAGAACTAACGACGCTTGGTTTCAATGTACGCCAGGTAACAAACGTTTTGAAGGAGGACAGGGAGCAGCCAGGATTACGAAATAGGATCCCACTACCATTGTTTTTCGTGGACTTGGAGCCATCACCAGGTATCGAAAAAATATATGATATCACAAGAATATACTACACAATGGTGAAAGTTGAGAAGCCATATCCCAAGAGAGACATCGTGCAGTGCCATAATTGTCAGACTTATGGCCACACGAAGACATATTGCCACCATCTGCCACGTTGCGTGAAGTGCAGTGAACAACACAAATCTGTAGAGTGCACCAAACCTATACAAGATCCAGCAGTATGTGCCCTATGCTTGGAGGGACACCCGGCGAACTACAAAGGCTGCCAAATTTACAAGAATCTCAAAACCAGACACCAGAAAAACCGGATTCAAGATGAAGCACTAAGAACAAGAAGAGAGAGAGAGCCTTCCAGAATTGTAAACAATGATGTATCATTCTCCCAACTACTTAGAGGTAAGACTTTAACCGATAAATGTCAAGCCCTGCCACAACAACCTCAAACCCAACCTCAAAATCCTCTTCATCCTAATATACCTAACCACCAACAACAAATTCCACATATTCCTCCTCCTTCAAATGCAACAGATCTCACAAGTTTGTTAGCATCTTTCCTCACCGATTTCAAATCCCTTGTTACTCCACTCATATCACTCCTCACGAATCTCGTATCTCACCTCATCCCTCCTTTGAAAAATCCTTAAATGACTCACATCCCTAAACCCATATCCATTCTCCTTTGGAATGCGAATGGTGTTAGAAATCATACAGACGAACTATCTACTTTACTACTTGAAAAGAACATTGATGTGGCACTAATTACTGAAACTCGACTAACCACTAAACAGCACTTCAATATACCACAATACCTGACATATCGTACTGACCACCCTGACGGAAAAGCACATGCCGGTACTGCTGTAATTGTACACCAATCCCTCTCCCATCACGTACTCCCATTACCAATACATGATTTCCTACAGTCCACCGCTATCGTGATAAAAACCTTCTCCTTTCCGGTCACTCTTGCATCAGCGTATTGCCCTCCTAACCGATCCATATCCAATGCCCAATTCAGTTCTCTCCTCGACTCCTTAGGACATCACTTCATCTTGGGTGCAGACCTAAATGCCAAGCACCAACAATGGGGTTCCAGAACCACGAATTCTCGTGGCCGAACCCTGCTGTCTGCACTCAATTCCCAACGTTTTCACCTCCTTTCCCCAACTCTCCTACCTACTGGCCCACAGATCCCAACCGTAATCCTGATCTTCTTGATTTCTTTATCCACAGCGGCTTAAGTCCCCTCAATTGTTCCATTACACGTCTAAATGAACTTTCCTCTGACCATAGTCCTCTAATCCTTAATGTTTCACTTGAACCTGTTCCCAAACCTTCTCCACCGTCATTCATTAGGGGCCCAGTAAACTGGGACCTTTTCCGCCAAATAATCTCCGATAATATTGATCTCAACATATCCCTCAAAACTCCCGATGACCTTGATAGTGCCGTAAATTCCTTTACTACCACAATCCAACAAGCCGCCTGGACTGCCTCCTTCCCAAAAGACTCCTCCAGAATTCCTATAAAGACCATTCTACCCCAACACCTCCTTAACCTAATCCGCACCAAACGCCGTGCCAGATTATTATGGCAACGTACCCGACATCCTACCGACCGCTGCTCCTATAATTACTACTGCAAACAATTAAAACTGGAATTAGCCACCTTCAGATCACAATCCTTCAACTCCTACCTATCCTCCCTCTCTTCTCGCGACAATTCCCTTTGGAAAACCACAACAAAAATCCTAAATCCTCACCGCATTTCCCATCCTCTCCGACGAGGTGATGGCTCCTGGGCAGCATCTGACGAAGATAAAGCTGAGGAGTTCGCCATTCACCTATCCAATACATTTATTTCACATCCGGAATCCCATCCTGCCCACACCGTAACAGTAGAAGAACTCCTTACATCACCAATCCCACTTTCCTTGCCCCCAAAAGCTATTCATCCTTCCGAAGTAAAATTTCAATTAAAAAAACTAATCCCCCGTAAAGCTCCTGGACATGATCTCCTTACACCTCAAATCCTTCGACAACTTCCATCCAAAGCAGTCATATTCCTTACATATATCTACAATTGTATCCTACGCACCACCCACTTCCCTCTGTTATGGAAACACTCCACTATTATCCTTTTCCCAAAACCAGGAAAACCTCTCAATAGCTCAACATCCTATAGACCAATCAGCCTACTCCCAATCCTTTCAAAAATTTTTGAAAAGATCCTTTTGAAACGAATCCTACCCATTATAGAATCCCAAAATATCCCTTCCCATCAGTTTGGTTTTCGCTCTCAACATTCTACTGTTCAACAAGGACTCCGAGTTGTTGATCATATTTCCTCAGCCCTAGAAAACAAGGAATACTGTTCGGGTGCCTTTCTGGACATTGCACAGGCATTTGACCGGGTATGGCACTCCGGACTGCTCTCCAAGCTTAAAATCCATTTACCTCAGTCCTTGTACCTAGTCCTCCGATCCTACCTCTCTGACCGCTCCTTTCGAGTTCGCTGTGGAACAGAATTTTCCAATATCTACTCCGTTAAAGCCGGTGTTCCCCAAGGCAGCGTCTTGGGTCCCGTGCTTTACATCCTCTTTACTGCTGACATCCCTGTTCATCCCGATACTTTTCTTGCAACATTCGCTGACGACACCGCAATCTTATCATCCAACTCTGATCCCGAAATAGCATCCTTAAATCTCCAAAGTCACCTCACCTTGATTGAGCACTGGTGTAATAACTGGCGCATTAAAGTTAATGAATCTAAATGCCAACATATTACCTTTACAC